AATTCATACTTCTTAGGCGGCATCCAGCTAATACCCATTTGGATTTGGATGTACGACGTGCAGATATCAATCCAACTTGCACCAGGCACCAATTCCAGCCATTGCTTCTTTGCTTCGTTAAATCTTGAGTAGAAATCATAGTTGCGGAGCTCTTAGTAGAGAAGTCTGTAAGCGAACGACTCCTCACCCTTACGTTGACTTCTCCAAGATGGAGTTCCCGCCACCGGAAACATGGCTTGTAACCTTACAATACTACAATAGAAATATTCTTTTCCTTTGGAATTGAATCTCTTAAGAAAGTTCGCCTTGAAAAAAATTTTGGTTACCCTTCGCTTCTAGCGACTTTCTAAGAAGCCAGCATATTGTAATCTTGGAATCTTCGTCTTATGCAACCCTTGTTTGGGTAAGAAAAGTAGACCTATCTGTCTAGTTCAAAGTTAGCACAGTGGGTGTATCAAATTATTTATACTAAGAATTGGTACCACGGTGCCATATAGAGATATAGAGATTCCATTTTTTTCATTGGAATCCTTATGATGAGGAGATTAAAAAAAATAGGATGAGAGCGTTCGCAGTTCCATTTACTTTGATTTAGTACGTTAAAATATTATCTCCACCCGATATTTATTGAGGAATATTAGAAATCGCGAATTTTTACACCAGCACATCAATTATATAAAGATGTACTAGGCTCTTGCGAATGTGTCCCATATTTGCCGATCGATTCAGATTCACCATTTTCTGAATTCCATCTTCCATTCCCGTGTCGTGATCTATTCAATCTACAGGTCGCAAATTTTGAAGTCGAGATTTTTTCTGAAAATAAATTTGATCCGCATTTTTTTTGTTTTGAAGACTACCTTCCTCCCGACTCTCTAAACCACACTGACGTTTGAAAAATTTGTCCTATGAAGTAAAAACATATTGCTGGCAAGCCCGACCTTTAAATACTCTACCAGTACAATGTTTCACTTATGTTTGTTGTAATACATGAAAAAACCCTCCCGTGTTCATTTATATGTGGGACGACCAGCTAAGCTCGAACCGACATGATCCATTTTGGGCAAAATAATTCCTCTATCAAGAACTTAATATTCTTCGTTTATTATCCTCATAAAATACCCAAAATGTCATCTAGCTGCCATGTAAAGGGAATGTCTTTCAAGAGACCCTTGAAATATAGAAAAAAATAGACCTAGACTAGAATGTGATCCAAACATGGCCTACAGTAAACGTTTGTCTGAATATTTATATGGAAACGGATCTCACACATCGTCCCCCTCCTTTCTAGGTCAAAATACTATGTTCGTTTAATTTTTATCGTGAAATATTTAAACTTGCTAATTTTTCTCATCTTCTTAAAATGTACCGATGCAATCCAGTTTCTATAACGTTTGTTCTTTGGCTAATACATCTCAGTGCAGCAACTTAACATATGTCAGACAAACAGACAGGAATAAATCGAATTGGAATATAAATCCTGCCTCTATACCAAATAAAAGTTTAGGTTTCCTCCATTTACATACCCACCGTGTATTTGCTTCCAGTTTCGAATTAACCTCTGCTAAATCTGATCAGTTATGAACGACAAAATTTACGAATTTTGATTTTTAATCATACCCTACACCACCTATGATACAAGGTATATTAAGTTAAGCCATAAGTGCGGTCGTATATAACCCGCAGAATGGCTTAAGGTAGATCCATCCTTTATTATACCGACCAATTCAGAATAATAATCTGGATTGCCTGCCCGTCTGATGTCTGCCCATGTTCAAGTTGCATCGCAATTCTTGAGATATTTCAATTAAATTTGGCACAGTGACGTGTTTGATCCAATGGCTATTGAAAATAGTGCGGATCGGTTCACTTTTTCGGTCAGTCCCCATATTATGCCCTATTCTGTAAAGTCGTTACATGGAAAGAAATTGCAATTTTCAAAATTTCTTAGCAAAAGTGGCCAAGTAATAGTATTTGGGCATCCAAAATTGGCTGAGATCGGTTCAAAATTTCCCTCTCATATAACGAAAACTGAAATTCACACGACAAAAGGTAATTGAACATAAAAAAACTAAATGTACCGAATCTGCACCTCCTCGGCCTATTTTTTGAATTCTGCCCTAACAAGGATTTTCGCGAATATTGACCCATGGTGGAGTAATTTCATACAAAAATAAACTTTACAAAATTTGGACCATTTACGACTATTTATGGATCCCTGCCCTCTGTAAGTAGTGAACTAGTATTATAGAAGGTTGCGTTTTGGGCCCGCTTCTCCATAAATACGCGCTTGAAAAAATGCTTCTATATATAGAAACAAGATATAATTTTTGAATAAAATAAAGATAAGAATTGTGTTAGACAATGTGCTACGGCGGCCTTTCCTTATTTGCTATTATGTCAAATTCTTAATTGTTGTTTATTATTTACCAATCAAGTTAACTCAACAAAAAGTAGTGTTTTTGCCATAAATGTTGCGGTTTTATGGTGTCATAAATGCTTAACAGGTCTGCTGAACGTATTAATGCAAATACTTTATCATGCTATCATCTGTTTTGGGTTTCGGACATAAAATACATAAGCTTTGTTAAGTAAATAGCTAAAGTAAATGCAAAAATAATTATTTTGAGGTTAAATTTTGTTTTTCACATTGCTGTTAGAATGTGTACATATGACCACATGTAGACTATTCGCTTATGAAATCAAATATTTGAATATTTTTAAGTAAAAAGCAAAACTTGTTTTCAATTTTTTTCTTTCTCTTTTTATAATTAAAATCAATTAATGACTTTTAATACCCTACAGCGTTTGCGACACAACGATACGTTAAATCTGTGCAACACCGGGACGGACTTAAGAAAAACGTATCTTTCGTTACACTGAGCTTATCTGGTTGTCCGTCCGTCCGTCCGTCTTGTTTTTTTTTTTTTTGTATTCAACCAACTCGTCGCAATTTTTGAGATATTTTAATGAAATTTGGTAAACCGATACATATTCGCCCAAGGAAGAACACTATTGAAAATGGCTCGCATCGGTCCGTTTTTTCGGCCACTCTTCATATGAACTCTTATTTTCAAAAGTCATTATATAAATAACCGTATTAAGCCAAGTGGTGTAGGGCCGTGGCCCACTGTTGTGTGTTATCAAAAGTTAAGAAAGAAATATATGCTAGGAAACTATTTCATCATATCGAACAAAATTCGTATTCTCTTGCGCAGCAACAAATGCATACGTATTATTGTTGGCAAGTTTTAGCGATTGATTTCACTTAATGCTACGGGTATCAATCAACATTGACATTTTATTGTTATATGCCAAGAGATAGAATGGATCTCGTTTCTTACTTTCTTCATAATATTTGCATTGCTTTCAAAGATTCTCCCTTTAAAAATATAAGTTAAGATCATCGCTTCTTTGAGGCGTATTAAGTAATTTTGTATTGTTGCTGTAAATTGCTTTACATTTCACCTCTCCCCTGATTCCTGAACCACAACTTTAGTACTAAATTATGATCGAATTCTCCGTCGATCTTATAGAATAATAATCTTGGGGGTAATGCTTGATCGCAAACTCAACTTTATCCTCCACATTGAAAACATCTCTCCAAAAAAATTATATAATTGTAGATCGGTTTGATCTAATACCAAACTTGAGGTCTGAACGAAAATGTGAAATAATCACATTGAACTAATCCTAAGAGTATTCCGAAATCTTTGCTAATTAGTTGGATTGAATGCAATGCACTTACGCGACTTAAGGACACGAAGAGTGCTAAGAGCCTTGTATATCAAACAACAGAGTTGTATTCGCCAGAAAACGAAGTTGAATTTCTCCGCAAAAAACAAAGATACATTTGCTCGTTAAAGAATTTTGGATCACTCCAATTTCTCGTAAATAAGATGAAGGTCGCAAGCTCCTCCTTTCCCTGTCATTTTCTCAGGCCGTAAGGGCACCCACAACTTCGTGCCTTGAGCTGTGATAGAGTTTTCTTTAGTCGTAGCTACAGTGAGTGCTCAATCGGTAAAAGCATAATAGTTACCCACTTAGGTACATATCCATTAGGCTGCGGCGATCACCTCCCCTATCTCTTTCTTTTTCCTCATTTCTTTCCGGCCATCACAGTGTCACGCGAACGGAAGACATCATATTAGAAGAAAGAAAGAAACAGGGCTGTAGTCGGAGCAGCCCCCCTCATGTTCAGGAATAGATATGTATAAGGTATATTCATATTACCGCCAAAACCAAACATTGAGTAATGATAACGAAAATGGAACTTTTTGATGATTGTATGGACTTATTGCACCGACCTTTTGATTTGTGGTTTTATATATGTATATATATATTTATATAGGTTTGCGTTTTTGCCTGCTTTGATACAGCGAAACTCTCCCCTTGTTGTCTTGATTCGTTCTGAATATCATGAAACGTGGCGTGCAGTCGTCTAAAGACTTGCTCTTTTTGACATCGAAGGACACATCCTTGATTATGTGTATAAAACGATCTTCCCACATAGTATGTCGTTAACCAAGAATAAAAAAGATAAATATGTACAAATATTGTAAATTTCATCAAAAGCAAATATTTGATGAATAAAACAAAGTAAAAAATCTATAGTTGGTCGCGGCCGACCGTAAGATACTTTAGGTAACTCCGCTTAATAGTGTGTAACGATTTCTCAAGCTAAGGTGTCAGATAGGAAGTGGTTAGAAAAGTGGTCCCATCCGAATCGTTTTCAATAGCATTCGTCCTTCGATCAAAACACGTCAGTATATCAAATTTCATCCAAATATCTTATCGGACAAACAAGCTTAAATGGGCATAATAAGAGATGCTTAAATGGGCCTAGGTCTAGCTTATACACATCCGCACAAACTTAACACACCCTTGCACTACAGCAATGAGATATGTATTATATGCAAAAATCGGTCAAACAATTCATAAACATCATAGTAATTATATCTCTTATATAATTCTTCTTTTTTTTTTTTTTCATTTTATAGATTAACTTTTTAATATGCCAAGTCATCGCACTCTTCCTAGCTTCGCTCTTCCGTTCAGTTTTGCATCCTTCCAAAGTGTCTTCAACAGTACGACATGTCGTTGCTCTCGTGCTTGGTTTGTGTTTTGGCTATTTTTGTTTCGGTCCACAAGCCATACATATTGCCGGTCTTCCAACTGTTTGTTATGTTGTCATACGTACTCAAAATCCTCAAGTTGTACAAAGGTAAGTGAAAAACATCCATCATCATCATCATCATCATCATCATCCAGACATTCTAATAGAATTCTCATTCTTTTCTTCATCTTCCCTAGATACGTCATGCTAGTGGCAATGACCTATTTATTAACAATACATTTAATGCGCCAGATTTACGATAATGGTTCAGATTGTTTAGATATTACCGGACCTTTAATGATTATAACGCAAAAAGTGACAAGTTTGGCTTATAGCATACACGATGGCTTTGTGAGATCGACAAAGGTATTATTATTATTTTTTAATATAATATAATTAAGAATTTAATAAAGTGAAAATGTATTTATCGTTAATATTTTTATAGGAATTAACCAAAGCTCAACAATATCATGCTGTGCGCAAAATGCCTTCCACTTTAGAATATTATTCGTTTGTTTTGAATTTTCACGGTTTATTGGCGGGACCGGCTATTTTCTATAAGGATTATATAGAATTTATTGAAGGATCGAATCTATTGAAATCGCCGGCCATGAATGTATGTTTATTTGTAAATAAAGTAATCACAGATTTTTTTTTATAATTTTATTTTCCTTTATCAATTAGGTGGATAATATTAAATCGCCGGTAATCGTGGAACCGTCACCCGTCAAGGCGGTAATTAAAAAAGTAGTTGGCAGTTTAATATGTGCGTTTATATTCATCAAATTTTCGAAATTGTATCCTATTAAAAATTTAAAAGACGAGGACTTTATAAGCAACTCTTCGTCATGGTATTGCTTGTGGTACACTATGATGTCCACAACGTTTACGCGTTTCAAATATTATCACGCTTGGCTGCTGGCCGATGCCATATGCAATAACTCTGGTCTCGGCTTTACTGGCTACGATAAAGATGGCAACGCTAATTGGGATTTAATATCTAATATTAATGTTTTAGGTTTTGAGGTAAACGGCATAAATATCTCTTTTCAATGCATTTAAAAATGATATTTAAAATATCAATTAATTCCCGCGTTTAGTTTGCTACCAATATGCGTGACGCTATTAATAATTGGAATTGTGGCACAAATCGCTGGTTGCGTACGGTCGTTTATGAGCGGGTTCCTAAAAAGTATGGTACAGTTTTAACATTTGCTTTAAGCGCCGTTTGGCATGGTTTCTATCCGGGCTACTACTTGACCTTCGCTACAGGTGCTCTTATGGTAACATCAGCTCGTGTGGTGAGTTACGAAATGGTGTATGCCGTTAAGAATTATGTAAATTAATGTAATATTATTATTACTTACTTAAATCAGGCTCGTCGCATGTTCCGACATAGGTTCCAGCGGACACAGTTTACGCGCATGTTTTATGATATATTAACATGCTTAACAACACGCATTGTCATGGGTTATACCACATTCCCATTTGTTATGCTCGAATTCATGGTAAATTTCTTTTCGTTTGTCCTTTTTAACTCCAATTATGGGTGTCTGTAGATAAGATAAGAAAATTTCAACCGACTATCGAGATCCGAAATTTATCCTTCATTTTATTTAATTTCATTTCAAATTTAAAGAAATAGTAGCAGTAGTAGTGGTAGTTGTTAGTCCTTCCCGTTGCCGAGAGTTGAATCATTGAACATGCAATATTGCATATCTATTCAAATTATGATACAAATCGTTCGAAAAATTATATTTAAAATAAATAATAAGACCCTATAGTGGGCCACGTCACATTAAGTACCCTACGTACAACTTCGTTTAATACGATTATTTATATGGAGTATTTTTAAAACGAGGCTTTATATGGGAAGTGAGTGATCGATAAAGTAGTTCGATCCAAAATGTTTTTTAAATAGCGCCTCATACTTAGGCCAAAATATGTCGGTGTATGAAATTTCGTTGATATGTTTCAAAAATTACAGCCTGCAGGTTAAACACAAGAAACACAAGACAGACTGACGGACAGATATGCTTACAGACAAGCTCACAAGGTGTAGGGTATAATAATTGAAAAGACGAAAAGAGCAGTAAAGGGAAAAAGAAAATCTAAAAATAGCTCTGATCCTTCCATTTATTTGCTTGAAATGACGGAAATTACTCTAAATCACTTGTTTTTTTTTTTTTTTATTTATTTTTATCACAGGCCAGTATCAGATTGTACCTGAACTTTTATTTGTGCCTTCATATTGTTGCGCTCATTACCATTTGTATTTTACCTAAATTCATAAAAGATGAAAAACGCATGAACCTAGTTGCGATACCAGTACAAGAAACGTTAAGAACTGATTGTGCTGATGCCGTCTCTGCTCCTAATGGACGCAATTTAAAAAAATTGCCAACAAACAAACAAAATTCATTGATAAATATACTGGCCGTGAACGCCGCCAGTTACGTTAACACAGATCTCAATAATGATTTTATAGAGAATAATTATGAATCTTTAAAACAATCACAGCAACAAAAGCAACAACAACAACAACAACAAAAACAACAGCAACAACAACAAAAACATGAACATCAACAAAAACGAACTAGTTTGACCTCAGAATTAAATAATATAGCGAGTGATGCTCGCGACGCGGTAAGTGTTAAACACGATCAATGTGAAATGGATCAATTGTCGAGTAAATTGAAGGAGAAGATCGAAGCCGAAACCAAAAATATAGAGGAATTTATTGATAAGACTGTTACGGAGACCGTTAGTGGTATAGTTTGCTTCAAAAATGATCTTATGCGTGATTGTGAATTTCCTCATACTTTACGCAAACGTAATACCGCGAATTTAACGACCCAGGTCAACGATGTAGCGGTGAATGCTGCTTGCTTAAAACCTCAATGCGATGAAAACGCACCTTTCCTGAAAAAGGAAATCGAAGTGATCAACGCAGTCGTACAACAGGCAAACGTTTTGCCAGCCGTTTTAAGTAACGGTCATGCAAAATAGTAGTACCGCTGAGTGTAAGAACTTCTTGTACAAGCGAATATGGGAAAGCTTCAATTTGTTGCCGCTATGCTCTATATATAGTAAATAATCCAGTAATAATTCCAGTACCATCACAACGATACCTACTCCTAATAGCAAACTCAATCAATCCTATGCTTTATCCGAAAAACCAAATTGATTATTTCCATAAATAGTTTACGATCTGCCTGCCCATATTGCTCCGCTTACCCCCCTCACTCTCTCTCTCTCTCTCTCTCTCTCTCTTTCTCTCTACAAGTCTCAGTTTATTTGCACTCCGTTAATGACACGCACAGATTTTATGCACATGTTTTGTAAAGCACGCACATTTGAGAACCGAAATACAGTTAAAAAACTAATACGAACTGCACACCAATATACACATAATCCTGACCTGATGATGAGATCCCCATTTTCCTCAGAAGATAATTGCTTTTCATTTTTTTTTTTTATATACGTATACATATACATATTTAATAATTTTAAGTTTTAAACATTATTTTTCTATTTATTATTTTTAGTATAAATTGAAGAGGAAGGAACGAAAAAAAAAAAAAAAAACAAAAAAAAATTTATATTTATACACATAAACAAACAAAAATAAATACATACAAAAGTAAAATTTATTTATTCATATTATTTATACAAAATAACAATTAACAAAAGAGAAAGAATGAAGTGGTAAAATGTATAAATTATAAAAATGTATTCTGAAAGAGATGTCTAATAAATTAATAATATACCGTTAAGCAATGAATTTCCAAATGACAGCGCAGCAGCAGCAGCAGCATCACCAACGGTAAAAGCTTCATATACTGTTGCTTCAAATATTGTTGAGCAAAGCAATATTATTGAATTCAAGGGAATCAAGTCAGTATTGCTACTGACTTTCGTACCTAACACTGAGGTACGGACCAAGCGTTTATGTGATGGGTATGCGAGATACCGGCCCCCGTCGAATGTAACTTTCTTACTTGTTATTTTTAAAAACTTTCGCCTGACATATTTTGCCTGCTATTCTTGAGATGATCATGAAGATCACCAGATCGTGGGCAAGAGATTAAAGCTTTTCAACTATTTTGGCGATTTATTAAATTCTTCTAATCTCCAATTCAATTGCCGACGAAGCACAACCAAATAAATATACGCAATAGTTGCTTTTAGTAATCACAAGCTTCTTTCTAACCTGTATAATAGCATTTCCGTGGTACGTGTACCGCTTTCGGCACACAACGTGCAAATTAGACGACCTTTTAATTCATAGTTTTTTGGTGCTTATCACATAAGTAATATTGAAAATACGACGCGAAGAGTTGGGTAAGTATAGGAGGCGGTTGTCTAACAATTGGCAACTGCATGCTTACCGCTATCATCGGTATGAAGAATGAAAAAAAATGAGAGTGGTAACAACAATTGAGCTTGGCGTAGAAATCAGTTTGGTGGTGTACTGAAAACGACGCTCGTGACAAGTACGTCTTTAAAAATAAAAAAAGAGGGGAAAGAGATGCTACTACAAGTCCAATCGTCGCTATTGCAATGATGGCTCTGCGCTGCAAGGACGTTATATTTTATTCTCTTGTTAACAGAACCAACAATTAATGGGAAAATCTCCCAAATTTAATCATTACTTAATCGAAGGGTTTGAGAAGATAATCCAATAAATTTGCTTTAAGGGAAGAACAGGAAAGACGTCCAAACATGTAGCGTAATGCAATACCAAGCCATAGTATTATGACAATGAGAAATTTATATACTTAACCATCTGCCTACCACGAACAAAATCAGACATCTCCCTCCTACTTACGTCAGCGAAGAGTAATTCAGCTGCAGATTATTCCAGTCTAAACGATTCGATTACTAACTTATATGTTTCATTAATAGAGAATCGGGGATTAGTACAATTTCTTACGTGCTATCGAATGTGATAATGAAACTAAGGTTAATTCGATTCGAATTCTATTACTACAACTTTCGCTTTATTACGAAAATTCCCCTAAAATAATATAAATTTTTTATAAGAAAATAATTTTTGAAGTGTTTTAACTGGAACTTTTGGAATTTTTGATTGGGCACTTGGGTTTGGTGAGGCTCGATTTAAATCGGTCCAACTTAATGTCCAATAGAAATCAGCTGGTAATGCAAATGTTCGCGCTAACTGAATCGTTCTCAATTTCGCATTTAACGGAAGTGTAGTGAAAATTACTCATTTAACAGAATCGAAGCGTTGCAGTTTATTGAAAGCAACTCTGTGCTCCTCCCTCCATTCTCAGCACATGGTAGTTTGCATTCACTCGAGATCGTTCGATACACAAACGGGAAACCATATTTATGTACTTGACGTTACATAAATTTTTTAGAAATTATGAGAAAATTTCTTATTCATGTTGGGGAACTTGCAACTATTACGTTGAGATTTTACTAAGCTTACCTACAATGGAGTCCTTTGTAATGAAAATTTATATTTCATATTTTTATTTATATGAATTGAATAAGTTAGTCTCCGATTTTTTGCGTGACTTCAATTAATTTTTATGGATCCAAGAAAACGCATAAGAGACTGCATAAAGTATATATACTTGACATTTCCTAATTTAACTTTCCTAGTGTTTGTAATGCCTGTTTGGCGACGCATAAGCAATTCAGGATAACTTTCGGAACCGACTAAAGCATGATGGCCTTTGAGTTCTTTGTCTGTCGATGTACCCTTCTACGCACTGATAACGAGAAAAGATTGGATCGATCACTGCCTGTAAAGGGGTCTATTTTGAAAAAACATCTATTACGAAAGCTCAATTTTGAATATATCTTGAGCGAAAAAATCAGTGAAAGATGAAATCTTCGTATACTAAATGAGTGTTTAAAATGTAAAAGAGGATGACACAAAATTTTTGGAGCCCCCTCCCTAAAAAGCAATGTATCCCTCTTTGACATAAGAGCTACTTGCCGATGTCAAGTTTTCAAAAATCCGGCTCTAGTTTCCTATGCTGCAGTTAAAGTTTATTCTGTTAAGTTCAAAATATAGAACACAATGCAGTGAATATCTTTCATATTTTTATTCACATTTTAAAGTGCTAGAAATTTTGTAAAAGTCTCCCTTATTTTCCCTGGAAGAGCCTATAACACACAAAAGTATTTCTTTGCACAAAGCTGAACCGAAGTCAAAATCGCCCCAACGCTTGAGAATTTCACGGGCATCGAAAGTCTTTGTTATTGCTTTTGTTGAAGTGTCTGGTGAATACACTTCCTTAAAGCGATTATTCATGAGAGTCATGTGTAATTTGACGCGCTCCCGTTGGGCATCTCTCGCTGTCATAAATCCACTCTCAATAAAACGTTGAAGACAGCGGTCACTAAATAACTGCAAATCTGGTGAATCAACGATAGCGTACAGAACGCGCACAGCGCTTGGGTCATCATTCATAATTTCTAACCCCCGAACATGCACTTTGAAAGGAGTTTTAACATTTGCTAGGAACTCGCTACAAATACAATTAAAAAAAAGCAATTAGGGCAATTTTTTAGAAATTCAAACATAATTACCGACAACTTTGTAATATTGTGGCAGCCTTATTACGTTCTACGTCATCCATTAACACACAAGCGCCAAGAGTGGCATGAAGACTTGAGTCAAGTTGAAATAAACTTTCATCAATGCTGGGTAATTGGGCAGACAAAATTAGTTCCTATTAATAAAAAAAATATTTGTTAAAAGTCTTCCAAATGCTTCTATCAGTTTAGACTTTCTTTGAAAACTTGAAAATTCTCAAGTATTTCATCATAATTTAAGGCTACTCCAAAAAAGTGCGTAGCATTCATTCGACCTCTCAATGAGGCCACCAATACATCAATTTTACGTTTAGCGGTAGCGACAGCATTTCGAGTTTTGCCTTTAATTATGACATTAGTTTCGCGACTTTTATTCCCATTGTCAGCGACGCGAGGGGGTATCATTATTTCAGTTGACGTTTCGGTTTCCAAACGGCGTTTAGTCGCACCCTTAAAACCAATAAGACCGCCATAAAATGAACTGAGAAAATTGATAGAAGTGCATTAATTTTCTTATAATATATTTTTTTCATAAAGCTTACGATGCTACGTGTATCTTCAGCTTAAAAATAGAGTTTTGGCATTCAATGTCACTTAGATCATCATCTATTTCGTCGTTATGTTCTTCCCCATATAAATCTTAAACAGAAAAAAGCTCCCTAAACATTGTATAAAAGCAATGGATTCTTCCCTTACCTCGTTCGTTGTACGCTTGCTTAGCGTTGTGAAGATTGCCCTTCATTGCGGCCTGGGAAGCTTGGCGTTGATCATTAAAATCTTCATGAACCAAATTCACCCGGTAGCGGCGATTGTTACTCATATACACCAACGGCGGAGCTAATATATTCCGGCTCATTATTTCAAACAATTTAGTAAAAGGAAAAATTCGAACACTTTGACAAAATCTAAATTAGTAGTGAACGATACCTCGCCAACTGATTTGTAAAAACTTTTTCTTTTAAAAGTCAGTAGGCGCAGCAGTGCTTTTTTTTTTTTGAATTTTGAGTTAGAGTGCGTTTCCCTTCTTCAAAGAATTCAAGTGAGAGATTTCTAGTTTATTTGTTTTGATTCTTTCATTCATACTTTTTTCCCCTTTTCTTTGTTTACGAATTCTAAATAGTACTCTTCTTCTTTTGCGAGTCAGCAAAACAACAACAACATATGATTTACCGAGCTCAGTAACAAGAGCTTTCAATGTGAACACGAAAGTCCTTATTTGAACCACTATAAATCTGGCGGTTAGCTTCGTACATACGTATATACGTGTGTGTGTCACGATTTCTTAAGTAGCTACTACGTTATCGTGCTTTTTATAAAATATTTTATAATTTACATATGTTGTAATAGCAAATTTTTTTTTTAATAACAATAAGTAAATTTATTTATTAATTGTGTTTCATATGATGGTTTGTTAACAGCTGTTGCGTAAAGAGAAAACGGTAACCCTATTTCTTGTTCTTCTATTCTGTTCTGTTCAGCATTTGTTAAACACGTGCAAGTGTCTTTTACTCCATAATAAATTTATTTGTTTTATTTATTTTACTTCCATCTTAACATCAAAAAAAAATATATATATATATATATATATATAAGAAATATGTCATCTAATATGGGCGAGTCTAAATCGTGGAAGAAAATGAATGAAGAACGTAAAGCTTTGAAAAAACAACGTAAGCAAGAAAAACTTTTGAAGTCTTTAAAAAGAAACCAACAGCAAGAGGATGTAACCGCCGAAAATGCCAAAGCGAAAGACAACAACACGCCGCAGATTATTAAAGAAAATCCCTCTACAATTTCCATCGCGGTTCCAGGTTCGATATTAGAAAATGCTCAATCGATAGAATTGCGTACATACGTTGCGGGTCAAATAGCTCGCGCCGCTTGTATATTTCGTGTGAATGAAGTAATTGTTTTTGATGATATTGGCTTATCGACTGCACGTGAAACCAAAGTTGATTATAATGCCAAAGATGAAGATAAGCACCGCACCGTCCGCAATAGCTGCTTGCAATTAGCCCGCATATTACAATATTTGGAGTGTCCGCAGTATCTGCGTAAATTTTTTTTCCCTCTACACAAAGATTTAAAATATTCTGGTTTATTAAATCCTTTGGACGCACCTCATCATCTAAGGCAAGATAATATATTTCGTTATCGCGAGGGCATAGTGACGGAAAAAGCAGCGAAACCGGGTCATTGTTATGTCAATGTTGGTTTATTAAATGATGTCTTGGTCAACAAGGCTATCGAACCTGGCTTTAGAGTTACAGTTAAACTGGATAATCCGGAAGGTAAGGTTCTGAAAAACATTTTAAGTGCAAATTTTAATGCGTTGTTTTTTGCTTTAGCAAATATAAAAAAACAACGTGCTTCAGTTGTTAGTCCAGATGAGCCGCGACGAGAGTCAGGTGTTTATTGGGGCTATACGATACGTATAGCGCATTCGATAGCTGAGATTTTTACCAAATCCCCTTATCCAAAAGGTTATGATGTCACGGTGGGCACTTCAGATCGTGGTAAAAATATTCATGAACTTGCCCAGCACTCGATGGAGTATAATCATATGCTTTTAGTATTTGGTGGTCTGCAAGGCTTAGAAAGTGCTTTAGCCAGTGATGATAAGTTACAAGTAGATGATCCAGAATTGTTATTTGATTATTATGTTAATGTTCTGCCTCAACAAGGATCCCGTACTATACGCACTGAAGAAGCTGTACTCATAGCTTTGGCCGCAATGCAGGAAAAATTTCATCCAATTATACCAGATAGTAAAGTGGAAATTGTTAAAGGTGCCTTACCGCGCAGTGAGGATACCGGAGGAGCAATATTAAAACCACGAGATTTTAAATCAAAAAAGAAGGATCTAAAACGTAAACTAAAAGAAGAGGAAACGGGGGAATCTCGTCTACCATGCGAACAATTACTCAAGACAACCAAAAGTGTTTCAGAAGATTTTAATGAACAGAAAGGAAAGAAAGCAAGAACAAATCCTTTTAAAAACTATGCAAATAATAGCGACGATGAAGCGAATGGCACACAGGAGGTCGATTTTGAAATCGTAGCAGCAAATGTAATGGCTTCTGAGTTTTCCAACAATGATGCAAACGATTTAAGTAGATTTGATTAGACAGCTGATCGGAGAAGATAGCCTCCACTTCACTGGGAACAAAGTAAGCGAATTGAAAGCTTGTTAAACATTTATTTCAGTTTTCCATTTTTTGTTCGCTCTTGATCTTTACAAATTCGAGTTTAATTGCTTCTACACTTTCATTTGAATCTTTACTTTTTCTTTTTTCTGGGTTCTCGTTTGATTATGCTTATGAATTCGAATTTAATTTTGTACATTGATTATGTGTCCGCTATATAGATTGAAAAAAGAAGAAAGAGGACGGAGTAAATTTTTATATTTGGAATTTAAATTGAACGAAAAAGCAGTCATTGCTTCAGCTTTTGGGAAATGGCAATGATCAGTCATACATGCCTCGATTGGTAAAATAAATGTAGGATAAAAGTCGGAGTACTGTCGCATAACAAAGTCACAGTTCAGAGGGCTATTTAAATAATCCGCTGAAGTAATTAGCCGGCAAACAGAAAATACTGAATACTAAAATTCATAGACTGGATTCGACATAAAAATTGAATACCGTGGGCAAAATTCATAACTTACAATTGGTCTGAAATTTGCCGCCAAAACTTACAAAAACCGTATAAAACTTTAGTGATACAATGCGCCTACACAACATAACCATTTAAGACCCTAAAGAAATTTATCACAGGGCTCACTGGAAGCTCAGTGCAGCTTCAAATTGACTAAAATCTAAAACTTTCCTAAGGAGATCTTAATCTTTCTCACGTTTTGGCTGTAAGTGAAGTTAATTTATGATTATTTTCGTGGTGTGGTTGCCTTCCATTTCAACAGCAGGCAGCAAGTTTTGCAAACTTCCGCTATGAAGTTTCACACCGGATATGTTTAATTGTAACGTGATAATGGAAAACAGTTATATATATATATTTGTATATCCAACATTCACCAAATTTTTTTTTACCCGTCACTTGATTGTGTTGAAACGAACAAAGTCTTTTATGAATTAAGATTATTATCCTGGATCTCTGATATTTCATCATTTAAAATATGCATACATTTACCGCATAGAATTCCAAGATAGGCCCGCATATATAATTATTATTATTATTATTAATTTCGCCACAGAAATAAATTCTAAGACTAAACTCTTAAAAGCACTAGCATCTAAGGCTATCGGCCTTTATTAAAAACTCTACCGCACTTGAGATTCGAACCCACGACCACTGAGTTGCTAGCCGAGACTCTTGCCTACTCGGCAACCCAGGCGGATAGGCCCGCATATAAATAGTGCATATCGTAAGAGATCGTATAAAGTAGATACCGTGCGCACTTGTTGCGTTTCATTTGTATATTGTTCGTGTAGGCGAAACTCTAAAGTGGATTTAGGTAGTTTATAAATTTAATGCGAGGACTTAATTACAAAATATTAAAAATGAAGAAAAATTCAGAAGTTACCAATATCAGCAGATGAAACATTATAGTAGCTCATGGTCCATCATAAAATATCCAACGCCATCTCACGGTTATTCATATAATGATTTTCCAAAATAAGGCGTCGAAAAAGTTCAGTTCAATCTGAACTGTCTTCAATAGCGTTCACCCTTCGATCAAAAAACACGTCAGTGTACAAAATTTGCAAGTTGAATACAAAGAAATAAGACGGACAGACAAGCTTACATTAGAAAATGACTCTGAACTGATGGATGTAATAAAAGATGAGCCTGTCGCAAATTCTTCTGAGTGTCACGTGCATCTCTATAAATTTAATATACCCTTGTTTTATAAGCGGTATGTAGTGCAAAGCGTCGCGGTAGATATAAAATATTCGAATGGATTTACAAATTTTCAAACGTGTGAAGGATTATTTCCTTTCTAGTCTCCTCTTATATTTCATTTTATTAGAAAGAGAGAACCCAGATTTGTTTTGTTTTTTGTTTCATTAGGTGTTTTCATATAATTTCTGTTACATAAACATGTTTGCAAAGCTTAAATACTAAACAATTTTCTCTTTAGCTTTTTTTTTTTTTTTTTTTTAATAATTTTTTTTAATAATTTTTGTAGAAAAGAACAAAAACAAAAAAAAAAGAAAAGAAAAATGCGTAATATATTAAAATATTTATATATATATAAATATATGTTTATAATTTTTCATATAAATCGGGTGGTATGAGGCAATTAGTATGCTCAGGTCTCGTCTATTTTTTGTATATATATATATATATATATATATGTCTTATATGTTTTTTTTTTTCTATTGCTTTAATTAAAAAATTTTTCGAAAACCTTTTATATCGAAAGTAGAAAAGAAAGTAAGAAATAAAAATTTTTGTATATAGCTGGTGATTACGAAAACACCTATATATTCAGTGCAGGTTTCGTCTAATTTAATCGCTTTTCTAAATCATCAAATTTCCGATGAATGCAAAAATTTTACAATTCAATAACATCACACACACATATTATATAACAAACAAGTATTTTTCTCATAACATTTACATCAATTATCCATTTTTTTTTTCAATTATTTTTTCTTACAAGACTAAGTACAGAATTTTTCATACTTTTGATCTTAAAATCTCATTTTTTCTCTATATATATATATAAATTGTTTTTCTTTTATTAATAATTTTTAAAGTTAAGAAAAAAAAAAAGAAAAGTTTTTGCAAAGCCTTATAGTCATTATTTATTATTCATTTTACTTAAATTCTATGGAGAAAATTGAATGCATTTTCGTTTATCTTTAGAATAAATCTCTTTTGAAGAATTTTTGTCTGAAAAAAAAGGCGTTTTGTTGTTACGTTCGTGTATGTCGAGGTACACAAATTTTCTAAAAGATAAATATTTACAAACAACTATATTAACTATGATAACTACTTATAATAATAATAATAATAATAATAAGAATCGTCTAAGAGAATTTTGCAGCTGCTTTTGGTACATAAAGTCTAGTAATTTTTTGCTTTTTCGAAATTTTCTAAGCTTTCGCTTTCAATATTTGCTTTACTTATCATTATTGTTTTTTTCTTCTCGTTTAGCTATTTAAATGACTTAAGCATTAAAATAATACTATAAACTTTGTTTTGTTATATGTTTTACGTAAAAATACTTTTTCTGTTTTTTTTTTTTGATATTTTCCCTAACAATTATCGATAACTATATTGGATTAGTTTTCTTCTGTCTATGTGTGTGTAAATCATAAGTTCATTCAACTATATATAATAGGTGGCGACATTGTCCTCGGAAATGATTAACTATGGAACGATAGTATCGTGAAAACGTGTTTCTGGAAAGATATCCTCTTCGATTTCCAAACGTGTATCACTATGGCCCAATAGTGATTCAGCATCTTCCTCGCAATGACGCATCGGATAACTAAACCCATCGCCGAAGCTAAAAATTGTTATAAATATATATGCATACATACAGGAAAATTTGTACATTTTGTATATGTAAATCAAATAGTCTAAGAATGAATTTTGCTTTTTTTTTTTTACATGAGAAAATTAAAATGTTTTTCCTTATACTTAATTAATTATTTAAAAAAAAAAAAAAAAAAAAATTTCACACTTAATAAGAGAAGCAAATTAATGACAACGAAATTCGCTGAGATAAACCGCTTTCCAACTTCAATATGAAAATGAACTCGATTTCGACAAACGTATTGAGATTTTGAAAACTAATAGGTGCTTGCATATATTCTGATCATCTTTTTTACTTAAAAAAGGCATTTATTAAGAAAAATTGCTAGAATATGTAATAATCAAAATATTTTCCCATCATTCTGGCAACATAACGGCACCGTCAGCACGTCGAAGGACCGATATCGGTTTGGCAGCAAATCAATCATCGACTCATTTTCGTGCTTCGTCAGCGTTTCGAAACCGCATTCCAACCAAGCTATGTCACGTCGATCTGGACTAGTGGTAATGAGTAGGCGCTGGGTGCGGCAGAACTTCCCATTCGAGCTGCAACAATATATCCTTGTCAATTCTTGCAACGTTTGATCGAGCATTGTCATGAAAGAGGATAATTTTGCGTCTGTTAGCCGCCATTGCTGGCCTTTATATCGTTCAATTTGTTCAATTGATGTAATAAACGACAAATTGCTGGTCTCACCATGCGCACAGCAAATGGCATTTTCGATAGTCATTTGCCCGCCTTTTGGATCTTTCCCATCGCATGTAAACATGTACAAACAGTTCATCAATTCATCTGTTGCTACGCTATTCGAAGGTTCTTTGCATGTTTGAGCTGCGCTTTCGGCCAATAAATCCTTGCAATTCATTGTCTTTCAATTTTTTGGTCCTTCAGGCTATTCTTTGTCCTTGACCTCAAAATCATCTGTTTTAAACTGTTCAAACGCAAATCGAAAATTGGGATAAGCTTCTAAAAGTGTTCGATAGGCTTCGCTAGCACACTTCTTCAAATCAAACAACAGAAGTAATGAATGCCGGAAACCATAAACACTGAATAACTCATTAAGACGAAATGGAAAATTTATATTTCAACAAGAGAAAGATCAAGACCATCGAATTCAACCGTTGTGTAGACTGATGCTTCGCAATACCTTATTTCATTTTGACAGACAGAAGTCGCTGATCAAAATACATGCAGGCACCTATTATACATAAAATATGTATGAAATTTCTGATCCGAACCTTGGCAGCATGATAATGTTTTTTCTTAATCAGAACTCTCTTCGGGCAAGAACGGTTTATTAGCTAAACCGGTAAATTTATTATTTTCCTTCTTTGTAATCGTTAGCTAAAGTTCACTAACCACTCGATTACTACCAAGTTTAAAACCCTGATTGGATGTTCACTTACGCAATAGATACTAGGTGTCCAAATAAGTTGAATAAACCCCAGGTCGGAAAAGCCAATTAGGCCTTAAGTAGCAAAAATATTAGGTTTTGTGCAAGTGAAGCGTTAAGTCGCGAAAAGCCATAGCTAAGCTTTAAGTCGTAGAAACTTGTTGTTAAGTTATAATCCCCAACGGTTCATACTTAAGCCTTAGCTAGCGGAATGTCATAGTTAAATTATAGTAAACAGGATCTTTGAAGTCGTAAAATTCCCATTACACATATATATGTGTGATTGTGTTAATGCATAATAATGTAAGGTGGAATTATGCACATATATAAACTCATCAAGAGAGCAATTGTTGTGAAGACTGAAAGTGCAGTGAGTGTTATAATGTAATAGGGCAGTTATTTGAAGTGGTGAGGAACAGATAAACGCAGTTTATTTTGAGAAGGGATCTCGGCAGCCGTTAAATGAATTTTGGCATCATCTTTGGCATTGTGTTTTTTTAGAAAGTTTCAGCAACACTATATTCTCACCAAGACAACATAGGATGTGTTAGTTATTTCATTAACACCATTTTTGTATTGAGCTTTTATTGTGAAGATTCGCATACGTGCGTCCGTCTCACGCAAAAGCAACCAAGGAAATAAGTTTCACTTTAGGCTGCGAAGTTTTACTGCATCCGCTATATTCTCCAGGTCTGACACTTTCCGATTACCAATTATTCAGATTCGTGTAGTCACATTTAGCAGGTTAATAGTTCAAAGAGTTTGAAGATGTGCGAAAATGGATCTATGGCTATTTCTCCTCCTCGTCAGCAAGTAGCAGAACACCTATAGATTATCCTACCCGTGGCAAAAGACTATAAATAATGATGCTTCATATTTCGATTATTAAGCTCGATAGCAATCAAATTTTACATAAAAAGCGGGACAAGTTTATTTATTCACCTATCAGTTTAGTGCAGGGTTATAGGAGATGTTAAACTTTCAGATTTAAACCAATTTTTAGGGTACAGCTTTAAATTTTGACAATTTGGATTTAACCTATTGTTATGAAACTGAAAGGCTTGACAAAATAGCCTGCAGACTTCGCCCGCAAAAGGCTACCTAACTGAAGGTGATCTAACACTGCAGATGATGTGAATGACGTTGAAACGTTATAGCCGAATAAAGGCGAGATCCTTTAAATATCTTACTTTAGATTGCAAAAATTTCTCAGAATATAGTTTTATAAAAATAAATTCGTAAATATTTTTTCAGATCAACCTGAGCAAAGCATGTCAAGTGTGCTAAATTTTTATATGGAAGATTTCGGTAATATGGACTCGTCCTAGGCGAAAACATGCCAGGGCACCAAATTTTATCTGACTGGATCGAAAATTGTACAACATTACATGAGTACGCATCAAACAGATGGACGGACGGACGCATTTAAATCGATTAGATTAGATTGCGAATCATTCTGAATCGATTGGTATAACAAAAACTTCAAAGTCGTCATCGTTCTGGATTTATAGCCGCGAATATGGGAATTGGTCGCATTTTTTCTGATCCGCGAATAGTGAAACCACGAATAAGTAACTTTTACTGTATATACATGTATTTTTTTGGAAGATATAAAGAAATATGAAAAAATTGAATTTCTGTAAGATGTTGGCATTTCTATTCAAAGCCTTAATTGAACTTCTTCCAAGTTTTATGCACAAGAAAGCGGTTCACCCAAACATTGTTTATACTCTATTCGCGTTAGGTATATGCACCACTTGCGATACGAGTGAATGTATGCAACACTTCGAAGGATTTAAAATAGACCCATATTTTGTTATATCTATCAATTCAACATCACTGGCATTCTTGTATTTAATCTACAGGCCGCATTTTTGAAATATTTTGATGACATTTCGTACGCTCACGTATTTTTTGGCTCAAGTATGTACGCTATTGAGAGAGGTTCCGAACGGACCATTTTTTCGGTACCATTTCTCATAGATAGCTTCATTTTGAAAAGTCATATGAATAACGATAGTATGGTGTAGGGTACTTAACAGCGGGCCTTGGCCCTATATAAACTTTTTATCCGATTTTATTTGCATTTTGTTAGTCAACCGAAAATCAAAATTTCTCTCCAATTCTACTCTTTTATTTGTAGTGGACATAAGTCGATCTTTTGAAATCTATTCCTCTCATTCCCTACGCTATTTCCCTCTCTCTTTCGGGAATATGTGTTTAAATTGCTTCGCAAAATTTCAGCAATGGCGAATGTATTCTTTATACACAGTGTGTGTGTAACAAGAAATTAGATTGTATTGAAATTACTAGACAAAATATCCGACAAGGATTTATGGACGCGCCATGACGAATATACTCGTCGTAACATCAAATTTTGGGACTTTTTTCATAACGACAGCACTCATCATATGCTGTTAACTGACTAAAGCGACTGTCCATCGTTGAGGGGACGTCTGGTACCTTGCATTGTCTCCGACAGTAAGTTAGTGATTTTTCAATAGTTAAAACTTAACTTAATCTTTTCTCAATTACTATTTTCATTGAATGAATTTCATGAATATGAATAGCATGGGCAGAGTCAAGACACCTTTGCCTATGCTCTCTACCCTATTCAATCTACATTTCTTATATTCGTTTCATATCGTTTGTGTCATGGAAAATGCAATTTTTGTTGTAAATGGCGTTTTGTTTTGTTTTTTAGATAGTTTGAATAATTGCATTCTTTGGAAGATTTTCCTTTTTAAAAAGCTAACATCATTTACCGTTACAGATGTCTCTGAGGGTTTAACGTCTGCACCTGGCTTGATGCCTTAATCAAACGGGTTGCCTACAATCATAGGCACTCATTTGAGTCGAGTGACCACCCCCCCGGGGGGAAAAACAATCCCCTAATAAGGGGGCCTTTCTTACCCCGAAGTGCGCAGATGGTTCACCGGGTATGGCCGAATGAACCGCCACTCTGGTCAGTAGTGAGGCCTAGCTGCACTCAAATTGTTCCATTTTGGCTAAGAACTTGCCAACCACAACCACCACGAGTACTCCCCGAAGGGCCGCACCCAAGCAGTCAGGACTCACAAATTGATCAACGATATGCGTTCAAAAAGGGTAAACATTGCGCTCGCTTCCGCCATAAGGCTTCCACGGCACCGTTGATCAATTACCACCATTGCCCGCAGGCATCCGTGACATATGTTCAAAAGTAAAATAAGGCAAAAGGGGAAAAAGCCTTTCCGTCAAATCCCTTTTTAATTTTTTGCATGTATCAATTAATTCTCGAGAGGGTTTTTTATTAATCGGCCAAAGGGAAGGCCGTCCGTCAATTCCTTTTTGTATTATTATTATTCTTGAGAAAAAATTATTTTATTTCGTTACGACTTGATGAACAAAGTCCATCATACACCCGCAGGCATACGTGGCTTTGTGAGGCGAGCCTCCTGGCCCCCGTGGCTCCCAGTTTATTTTTCAAAGCCTTAGGCATATTTTGGCGGTTGTTAAAAACAACCGTACTTGCTTCGGATTCACCATACTTCCCTGGTTGCCAACACCAGTGAACTACTTTTCTTGGAGATATATAGGTCTTGGGTATTGCACTGACATGGCAGGGGCGATCTACCATGCACATTTACCGTTACAATACAATAACGGTGTAAGAAATTGATGTTCATAAGACAAGGTAACAAGCTTGATTGCGAAAGAACGAACGAACATTAGTAGAGCGCCGTAGTTGTTCAACCCTGTGCAACACCAATGTTTGTAAAGCTTCAATAATAATAATAAGTTGGATTCATTTAGCATCAAACGTTCTGCTATCTCATCTTAATACAGATACTTTGCTTAATATTTACATAACAACCGATTTTATTGTAAAAAAATGAATGAGGAAATCTTACTTCACTACCTGTGCCAAACACTACTACTTGATTAGATTATTTATATGTAATTATAGAAAATAAAATTCAAATCATACATTTATGTAAAGATAAGTTTTAATATTAATAATAACGGTAAAAAAAAAACATATATTTAAATAAAATTCGTTAAAAAACTATATAAATAACAAGCTTTTGTTTATGTTTCTTTTTTCTTTTTTTTTATGTAAGTAATTCAGCTTAACAGCGAAATGAAATTGGTCTCACAGCAAATATTTGTCTGATGATGAGATGAATCATGTAGGAAAATAGCGCAAATATTTCATATTTACAAACTCAAAGTAATATTACAAAACTATGTTTTACATTAAAGAATAAAAAAGAGGGGAAGGAAACAAAAAAAAAAAAAAAAAAAAAAAAACATACAAATTATGATTAAATGCAATTTTCCATTTCTTGAATCAACTCTTTTTCTTCGTCAGATTGTTTCAATTACGCTAACTAATGTCGATAATGATGATGACGTTGGCGGCGATGATTGTATTAACAAAATTATGCAATTTTATGAATTTCAACAACATTTCGCTGTAATGACGCATCGATTAATTTAATTTCAGGCAGTTGTTCTTTGTCCGGTAACTGCGTTACAACTTCTAAATCGGGCATAGCGATGACTACATTGCCGTTATTAACATTAGCAATAATTGATGAACATGAAGCAGACTTTACGGCACTGGCAATAAGAGAATGAGAGGGCGATACATCACCGGCAGCGGCAGCGACAGCAGCAGCAGCAGTTGGTAAATATGAGATTTTTGGTTCAAGCTGCAACTGCTGCTCATCATCTTCCCGAAATTCCGAACTAACGTTACATGATGATGACATTGTAGTAGAAGTTTGATTATTTTTTATTAACTTATCTGTCGCTTGTACCTCCAATCTTGCATCGGTAGCACCCATTGAATTGTAGATGGGCTTCTGGTACACTTGTTGCGTTCTCATTGCATAACGAAGCCCATCGCCTTGACTGTGGTTTGTCGAAAAAATTTGTGCATATAGAGAAGATGGGGTATATACCCAAAAGTATATACATAGATATATATATATATATATAACATTTTATATATTGTTTCAAGTGAAAAAAAAAAACAAAATCGTTTAGCAATAAAATTGCATTATATAGCAGGAGAGGTAACATTTTTTATGCGTATTATGCATATTGCAATTGGAAAGTTAGAATCGTGTTAAAGGACACACATACATGGAGCGAAAATTACATTCACTAATGAGAAATTTTCGATTATGTACTTATTTTATGTAAGAGCTAAGAAAATGTTTACCTATTTTTATGTTAAACTATTTTGACATTCTGAACATTAATTATTTATCCATTTTAGACTATGATGAAAATGATGATGATCAATTTTTGTTATAAGATGTAAGCGAAAACAATAAGAAAGCAAAAAAAAAAACCTCTTTCTTGTATATCGAACAGAAAGCTAAACAAGGAAAAGATTTAAAATTTTATATTTGTTCTAATTATCAGTTAACCTGCTTAGGAGAAGTGTTAATATAACTTTCAGTCATAGTTTGTTATGTTCTACATTAGGTACTGAAAAAATTTCGATTTGTTTCGACTTCGATATTAGCAGGCATCTATTCAGAGACGTCGTTTAATCAAAGCGTAGCTCTAACTAATTAAGTACGCTTTACACCACTTGTCGTGCAAGTGTGCTAAGTTTGTGCGGATGTATGCAACAAACAGAAAGACGTGATCCATCTTATATTATACCGATCTAAGCTTGCCTGTGTGCCCGTCTGTCTTGTTTTTTTCGGTTCAATCTACAGGTTGTAATTTTCGGAGTATTGTGTTTTGTCCCAAAGACGAACGCTATTGAAAATGTTTCGGATCGAGCCACCTTTTTCATTCATCCCCTTATAAAACCTTATTTTGAAACGTCATCTCATTATATTAAACAAAGTCCTGTAGGCTATTTAAGGGTGGGCCGGATACCACTATAGTTTTTTCACTTATTTTTAAGTTAATAAAATCATAAAACAGTCGAGTGGCATTATTTACACTAGCTAAGTTGCTAATATTCCTTTTATGGACTTTTATATTAGACAGATATACCGAAAAAAGAAAAAATGTTAGAGAAAGTCCACCATAATTATGCCTTATTGAAAGCAGAACAAAAATTTACAAGAAGGATTGAGGTTTTGAGTAAAGTATATATTGAAAAAATTATGGAATTGACTCTCGGTAAACGCCATTTACGCACTTGGCGAAGGTAACAAGAGATTGTTATATGCTTCATTTGATTGTAGGACATGGAAATAGATTAACACTTAGCTTGCTAAAAAGAATCAAAATTTCTCTGCTTGTTGGTCACAATCTCGAACCTCTCTCACGATCAAGCGCAGAATTTGGTGATTTTTTGTTTTTATCAAACTCAAGACTATCCATTAGTTGGAGGAGGCTTTATACTGTTATTATTAATCAACACATTACGTGAGCTTGCATTCAAAGATGGTGTTGAAAACTGATGTGATAATGAGTTAATATTCCTGCGATTTGTCTATAGGCAAGTGCGGTTTACTGTTAGAACATTTATTTAGTTACGGCTCTTTATTTGTAGCATATACACCATAGGGATTATGAGTATAGTAATTTTGTCATTTTATCTAGAATTATATGCTAAAGGTTTCAAAATATAGATGCATTTTTGATTAGAATTCCCATAAGCTTCTATTTAAGATCTCAAGTCAAATTAAAAACGTTTATCTGCAGTTCAGTATATCAATTCTTAAACTTGTAAGGCAGGAAATATGAAACTGAAATGATTCTGCAAATGCCTAGAAAACTCAAGGCAACAAACACTTTTTTTGACTGATTATTTAATTATTTTACTTAATGCATTCGGAACAGGATGATTTTCAATTCCGGTTCACGGAAATTTTTTCTGATGCATTTCAGTTTTCTTTCAATTTTTTTCTGTTTGTTTTTGATAAGAAGCACAACAACAAACGGACATCACTAAATCGACATACAATGTTTTTGAGAATGATTGCAACCTCTGTTGCGGGCTTATATTGTAATTAATTTTCCATTTTCATTACTAAGAAAAAAGTATGTTAAGTATTAGTTCACAGCAAGCAAACATTTTAAATATCTTTCTTTATATGTTATAACATGTACAAAAGTTAATTTAGCTGAATAAAAAAATAACTAAACTAAACATTCGACATACGACACATCAAATAAAAATTAATTAAAATTATGTTCTGTAATTACCTGGTAAAAACTGGCAAAAACCACAATTTCCAGTCATCACCAAATACTTCTTGAAAATTGGCCAATTTACCTAAATTGTAACCATTTTTATCCTGACCGCCAATACGAAAAATAGGTGCACGAAAGGCCTCTACAAAGTGTTTAAAAAGATTATTCAGTGTTTTTCTTTTCTGCAAAAATTATGCATAAAATAGTAAACGCTTACCTAACGTGGTACGATTCACTAGCAGCAAATAGACATGATAACCAAAGAGACTAATCAAACTGATGGCGAACATGAAGGCCACAAAAAATAGGAACAATATATGAAAACGGCCCATACTACCGCCCAATTCACCCTGTTCAACAAATTCCGACTTGATTATATCAGGAAACACAAATTATAATTGAACTACATTGCATTCGGGTCAAATAATATACGGGGATTATTTACACTTACCCTCCAGAATCGTATAAAACATTCTAATGAAGTTAAAGCTACGTACAGGCAATATAGTAGAGCGTAGCCCAGAAAGAGCACAAAAAATTTGTAATTTGTAAAATTAACACAATTATTAACCCAAGGGCAGTGATGATCCATTTTTAAAATGCAAGTTCCACAAACACTGCAATGATGCGAACGATCCGGTTTAATGATTTTGCATTTGTCACAAAATCGTATTGAACCACTAAGGGTCCTAAAAAAAAAAAAAAAAGAGAAAGAGAAAAAAATTCGTAATAGGTAAGAAAATTATATTCGGTCGCAACCGAGTTTATACCCATCACCGCTTGTTTAATTTTGATCCATAATATAGATAAGGTATGGTATCTGAAGGTTCTGCTAATGTTTTATAAATTGAGTGGAACAGTTTTTTTTCAATATCTACGTATGCATGTAAGGAACCGGTCAAAGGAAAATCTTTATTATTGCAGCGATGGTCACCGGTCATTTTCGTCGTGTTCTCAGTTCGATTTGATTCTGCGCGCAAGAATTTGCAATGTTTGTATCGGTTTAGAATCTGATAGTGATCGAGAATATCTATATTTTATGAGGTATCTGAAGCTTCCTTTTAGATATTGAAAATATTTTAACAAAGTGAATGTAGCCGTTATGGTGATGGGTATAATTTATATGCAAGAAGGCAAATATTTTTACCGATTGGATACTGGATAATCTTTCGCAATATATTCGAGCAATCTTTTTTGTTGTTCTTGGTTTTCAATGCGGAGTAAACGTTCGATTTCCACTTCGGGGATACGCCACTATTAGTGTAAAAAGTTGATGAATAAAAAACAAACAATATTTGAAATGTTATCTTATCGTCAATGAATCACTTTCACTGTTTGTAGATTAATTTAAATGCATAAAAATGGTAACTTACAGTAGATGGTACCGTGCCAGCAGGTGTGAATATCGTTTTCCAATATGACCATAGAAAAAGTGTGTTTATTATGTGATAGAATAGCAAAAATATAACCTTCTCAGCGGTATTGTCAATAGCAACTATAGAGGAAAGAAGTGGAGAATAGTATAAAGGAATGGAAAATTTTGTATTCTTACGGAACTTACGTATGCATAATTCTACGACATAGGCATAATAGGACCAAACTATAATGGAGAGTATAAATAATACCGGTATCCATTTAAGGACACGCATGCATCCAGCACAAGAATTTGTCTTCTTTTTACGCTCTCCTAAGTTACTCATATCTTCTATTACTTCAAAGTTCCGATGAAAAAGTATAAACTCTTAACTTGGAAAAATGTTCCGAAAATTAAGTCTCTTGGAGTAATTTCTATACACTTCTTAAGAATACGTTGTCATCGTCATTTTTCCAATTATAAATCTACTAAATGCACATTTTCATTAAGTTTTTCATTTGTTTTACAGAGAGCATGGAATCATCAAATAATGGAATCTTAAACACACACACTTCGAACACACGATTATATTAAAAAGAAAACTTTTTTTACTGAGTTTTCTGAATTATGACGAATAGTTAATAAATTAAATTATATATATTTTCTATTTTCTAAATTTCTCTAATCTCTTGTTAATTTTTTCTTAATAAAAAGAAACACGATCTCTAATAAAATATTTTTCTTTTTTGTTGTTGTTTTGGCTTTTTTTTTGCATTTGACGTTCGCTCTAGAGTTGCCATAATTAAATGCAAGACATCAGTACCACAGAATTTACACAATCTTATCAAATCTTTATACAAAGATTTGGTATCTCTCATCGTTATTATCTTCGAGAAGAGAGAGAGAGAGAAACCATTAAATTTCCCATTTTTTTTTTCAATTTATAAGGGAAATTTGTTTACATATGAAAGGCGTATTTCTCTTTCTCTCATTTTTGTTATCTTCATTTACATCAGTACTTTTTATCTATAAAGGCATATATATCGCAGAGATTCAATAAGGAATACAATATAGATTCTCAGTATTCTCAGTAGTTTTTTGGCTCGGAAATAATTCAGTTTTAAATCGGTTTAAATAATTGGTGTAATAAAATAATAAACGTGTATATATATATATATATATAAATATATATGTATATATGCATACATATACCTACCTGTATAAGAAAAATTATAGCAAAGTGTATAAAATTGATTAAATAATTTTTCGTTTAATTTATTTTCAACTTTTTTTTATGGAAAAAGTGTTTAGATCTAAGGTTAAAATAAATAATTTATTTATATATAAAAAAATATTAAATATAGTTAAATATTCATTGATAATGTTAGTTAAAAAAAACATCCTTGGAGAGAAAAAGAAATAGTTTTGGTTACAAATGAAAAAAACAAAAAACAACAAAAAAAAAAAAAGAAAAATAACACTCACACAGGCATACATTCACATTTTTAGGCAAGTGAAAAAGTATATAGATATAAAGCATAAGATAAGATGGCAGAAAAAAAAAAAAAAAACTAGGTGAAGTAAAAAACACATGATTTAAAATGATATGAAAAGAAAAACTAGAATAGGTTTTTTGTTTTAAAGAAACGATAAAGAAAGAAGAACAAAATTGATTATCTATCTACCTGGTCCTGTTTTGTGTACATGGCACATATCTACACGAATCGCATAAAGTTAATATGCGGCGACTATGTGCGCTTGTGTGCTCTAAGGCAAATAGAAACAATCAATATTCACTTAAATAGTGTTTGGTGTCAGTAGGTGGTGCGTTCTTAATGGTCGTTGCCTTGCTTCGCTATAGGTCGGCTCTGAACGTTTCGGAAGTTCGGTTCTCCGCTATGTTAAATTTAGAAACATTTTAAATTATTTTATATACATATATACATATATATATATATATATGTATATTGTGTTGTTCTCATTATCCAGCCATTATTTTTGGGGACATTAATTACGAAATATGAAAAGCGAAAAAGCATTTATTTTACTTGAGTTTTTTTTAAGGTTTCTTGCAACATTTAAATGCAGTTAATGGCTTACAAAACAAGGTTATAACCTCTAACACTGTACACATTTACGCTTTACTTACTTACATGCATAAAATAAAATGTGTCAGTTAAGTTTATGAAGGATTTTTTTCTATTTTCAAAGAAAATTTTATACCGGTTTTCTTTTTAATGTTCGCCTCAAGTACAAGAGAGAGAGAGAGAGAGAGAGAGATAGAGATAAAGACAATAGAAATAAATCAAATCAATAGTAAAAATTTAGTTTCTCTTTGTATAATACACTTACGCATGCATTTATATATGTGTGCCTGTATGTGCCTGGCTGTGCCTGTGTGTGTGTGTGCGCTTGGAAAGGTCTAACATAAAAGTCAAATGTTTATTATTTATTTATTTATTATCATTTCAAAAATTTGCAAAATCACACATACGCGATAGACAAGTGTTTCCAAACCAAGTGCCCAGTTAAATGTTACTCTCATCCGAGACATAATAAATTCAAAGTCATAAAAAAAAAAATAAAAGAATTATTTATTATCAGTGATTTAGCCGCCGTCCAAAACGTGTAAACATTGTTGTCATTGCACTTTGAGTCATTTTATCATCTCTTAACAACGGTAAAACAAGCTTAACTTGTAATCATTAAGTTAAAAAAAAAAAAAAAAATAATTACTACGTTTTTCCTCTTGATTCATAGGATAAAAGAGAAGAAAAAAAGACCCGCGTTTATTACTTACTTTTTCGTGATTTTCAACATGACAAACTCTCTCTCTCTCTCTCTCTCTCTCTATCTCTCCATCTCACTCCCTCTTTCGCTTAATATAGATAAATCAAATAATTTTTTTTTTTTTTAATAAATTTTGTTTAGATCTCTTGCAAAACATCGTTGATCGATGTTTAAGTCAACACATGTGTTAAATAAATGGTGCAAGTGTGTAAAAAAAAAATCAATGAAAATCTCGGTGCTCTACATATAACCGTTTAATAACTATCAGATCAATAAAACAAAAAAAAAAAAAAAAGAGAAACAAGAAGAAGAAGAAGAAAACAAAAATATCTCATTCTTATTTAATTCAAAAGAAAACTTTTTAGTTCTACTGAAAGCAGAAAAATTCTGAACAAACTTTTTGAAAATAAATAAAAAAAAAAGACTTGTTTCTCGCACTTCGCCATCTCACGAAATCAGAACACATATTTTATTTCTTTTCATTTTTTGTTTTGTTTTTTTTTTTTTTTTTTTTTGGAAAGAAATTAATTATATCGGATATTATTAATCAACTTTAAAGCAAGAAGAAACAAAGTAAGTTTACAATGTTATAAACATTTTAATAGCATTTATATCATATAGATACTACATGCATATATATGTATATATATATATATTTATACATACATATGAAGATGTTTATTTTTGTTAGATAAAAGTGAAAACAATTTGAAATCAAATTAAAAATAAGACGAAAAATCATATTCATTAGTCAATAATCTATTGCTCATCATTTCTTATAATATTCTGACAATGCCTTTAATCTCCAGTTAAAACTGGAACCAAAAAAGATTCAGTTTGTTAACTGAAGAGTAGAATAGACTTTTGCGTTAAGTTGATATCATTCCATGGGAAAATTTGTAATTTTTCTATCGGATAATAATGCGATAAACTTTTTAATCTCCAGTTAGAATTGAAATTAAAACATATTCGGTTTGCTAACAGAAGAGTAGAACAAGACAGCTTTGGATTAAGTTGATTCCCTTCTGGCAAAATCTGTACCTTTTACATCTGGTAATAGTATGAGAACTTTTTAAATTTCCCATTAGAACTTGAATGGGAAAGCATTTGTTTTCTTTACAGACGTTTTTAATCTCCAGTTAGAACTAGAACCAAAAAAAGTTTATTTTATTAAGAGGAGAAGAGAAGAAGTTACGTTTTATTTAGCTTGAGTTGACTCCTTTCTGTCAAAATCTGTACCTAGAAGAAAATAGTTTTAACTAAGGTCAATTCTTTTCTAACAAAATTTGTATTTTCTTAATCTGATAATACCGATCTGACAATGTCTTTACCGCTTGAGCTTAGAAGTCGAATCAAAAGAAGTTTGCTTTGTCCGTTTCTTCTTCATCTCGTATTGCTTTGAGAATGTTTTTCATCTTCCGTTAGAATAGTAATCGAAATAGTGAAATAATAGTGGTTTTGAATTCAGTTTATTCCCATCTGGCAAAATTTCTAGCTTCTTCATCTAATAATAGTATGACAATGTTTTCAATCTCCAATTAGACTTTAAACCGAAGAGAAGAATAGAAGAAGATATTTTTAAGTTGAGTTGACTGGCCTTTTAACAAAATGCATATCTTTTGCATCCCGTAAAACTTTAACAAGGTTTTTAATCTCCAGTTAAAATTTAAATCGAAAAAGATTCATTTTCTTAACAGAAAACAGACGAAGATAACTTTATGTTGAGCTGGCTCTTTTCTCTAAGACTCTGCATCTTCTTAACCTTATAATAGCTTGAAAAAATTTTATTATTATTATTATTATTAATTTCGCCAGACAAATAAATTCTAAGACTAAACTCTTAAAAGCACTAGTATTTAAGGCTAACGGGTTTTATTAAAAACTTTACCGCACTTGAGATTCGAACCCACGACCATTGACTTCTTAGTCGAGATTCCTCGAAAAAATTTTAAATTTAAAGTTTAGATTAAATTGATTTCCTTCCTTCTCGTCCAATCTGTTAAATTTATATTATATAATAGGTTGCGAAATGTATTCAATTGGTTTTTAGAAGCGAAAACTCTTCTCAATGACTTTGAAGTAATTGAACTCGAACTTTTCATTTATATCTTTAGTAGGGTGCATACAATTCGTGTATAATATTATTATTAATTTCTAAATATCGGGCAAAATCATAATTAATGTCAAGTGTTCACAATGGGCGAGGCTTTTCCTTTCAATTGATCTTTTCATTACGATGTCCACTGAATCGCACGCTGCTTACGAAAGCGGAAAAAATCATTTTGAAGGCAAAAGTAATTTTCTTATGCTTGACTTGAAAACACTTTCCAGTGTAGTGAAGCGAATCTATAACTATTACGAAGTCTATTTTGAAGAGCAACAGGAGTTTGTTTTATATCATACACCACTTAGGGTACAAGGGTATCTTAAGTTTGCAGGCATGCAAGCAACACTCAGAATTACTCGAGATATGATGAGCACTGTCTGTTCGGCAAGCCCGTCTGTCTGGCTGTTTTGTTTTCCGTACAGTCCGCACACTGTCGTGCAAACGCTGTTGTGAACGGTTCCGATCGCGCCCACTTCCCATATAATAACCTTATTTTGAGAAGCCGTTATGTGAGTAACGGCAGGGTATCTAACTGTAGGGTCCTTAATGCTGAACCGTGGCTCACTATAGTGTTACTTTACTTTTTTTCATATATATTTTTAAGCTTACAATAAAATTTTTCAAATAAGAAAATTGGAAGTATTTGTGTTATTAAATTCTTAGATTGCTGCTGCGCACTGGTAAATTGTTAAACACCAGAGTTTTGACCGCACGTTCCAAACGGAGTTAATAATTGACTTTAAATTTGAATTGCTAAAGTATCTAACGGAACACTTAAATCTGCGAAAGTATACCAATTACGTAAACTTTAGAAGTTTGTAGAATGACTCTGCAAGTAAGACCTTGATGGTGTTAACCGGGCTTAAGCACGGGCTTAAGACGTATGCTATTACTACTATTGTTATTACAGTGTGAGCAGTTGGTTCGGCGGCAACCTAGAGAATCTATCTTGCTCACTCATGCTGCTAGTCTTCCAAATTTTAGGATTCTTATGAATCCCACCACCACTATATTCTTTGACTCAGATCATCATATTGTATCAGTGATCGTCAGGCACTAGGTTTCTAAATCTGCTGCTGATGGCCTCGTTTTCACATAGGATGTGTTGGTATGTTTCGCTCGTTCCTTACGAGGATCTACATGAATTCGTTTCGGAGATACCTGTGGTTTTCCCAGATGGTACCTGCAGAGAACTATCACCTGCATAGAAGGCGATGATCAATCGTACGTCAATGTTTCTCAGTTCCAGTAGCTTATGTAACATAACGGAAGATTCTATAAATCCTTTCGATTGCCAATGTTGTGCACTTTGTTTCCAGTAACAAGACGATTTTTTTTGTAAGGCCTCTGTTAATTTTACACTTTACCAAATGGAATAAAGTTTCTCCTGAAAATATTCTGAAACTTGAAAATAACAAATGATTATCTTTTCTTTTTATTTTTTTTCAAGCTCTAGTTGGGAAAAAAAAACAAGCTGTTTTTTTTTTCAAAATTTCGAAAAACAATTTTAATTAAGGCCGATTCGAGTGTACCGAATAAAAAAGAAGAAAAGTTTATCAAGGCTATTAGAGTTTTAAAAGTATAATTATAGATAGATAGATACCTTAGAATAATTTGTAATCAAGTTATTAGAGAAAATTTGTACCTGAGCTGTTTCGAAAGTGCAATAAAAATGCATATTGCCTATGAGTTTTAAGTGGGATAATAATTTCCCCTGTCTTCTAATGGCGGGCATGTTACCCGTTGATTGCATTGGTTAGAAAATCGAATGTTATATGCCAAACTAGGACAAACTTTGTAAACAAATTTTATTTCGAAAACCACAATACCATAAAATTCTGAACATATTACATATTTGCTCTACAGTCGTCTAGTTACATATAGACCACATGCATATATATCTACATAAACCACATAACTATAAATGCATATATGAATATATACATAATATATATTATACATACATATATATACATATATATATATATATTTGCGGAAAATAAACTAATATAACTGGACTTGACCAAAATATTGCTGAGTGTATATCTAACCGGCTGACTATACATAATTGTTTGCAAAAGTGTGCATACATTTAATGGATATTCGTAAAATAAATATTTACTTATGTAATATGTTATATGAAGCATTGAATGTAAGCTAGAATACGTCAAGTATGCACAGAATAAGTTATTAAATTTAATGAAGACCGTTTGTTTTTTTTTTTTTTTTGTTGCCTTTCACGAAAAATTTCGAAAATCGTTGCATTTATTAGATTTTAGTCAAAAGGCTTGCAGCATGCAAAAGGAAGGTTGAGACGTCCGTTAAAGTAAGTAATAGGCTTGTCGGACAGTTCTGTCTGTTTCGATTTAAAAAAAAGTTTGAACAAGTTTGCGCATTTGACACTATATTTATCTCTCTCTCTCTCTCTCTCTCTCTCTCTCTTTATACCGCTGAATGTACACATACTGGACCAAGCAAAAGAACTAAAACGAAGATTATTCATCCTAGTATTACGTGAGACGCAATCGTGCACGCATGCGTACTGCGGAAGTTCATTCACATTACTGCATTTTATATGACTTCCAGCAAGGAAAAAATGCTCCAACAGAGTGTAGAATGTTATTGAAAGTGTTTGGTGGTGAAGGTACAGCTTCTGGTAGAAAATGCGAAAGGTGGTTCGAAAAACTTTAAATATGTAGATAATTTCTGGTAAGGTATACTTTATGCGAATATCTTTAATCGGCGACGATACTGTCAAGCTCGTGTTAAATCCTTTTTTGACAACTTCGGAGATTACGGAAAGGTTAGATTCATCTCAACAGACCATTTCGGATCATACTCGGAAATAAGGATTGTAACAACGGGCAGGATTTTCTCGGTGGACCACCATCAAATCTTGGATCGATCTAAATATGTTCTGCCCCTCGGTTTTCCAGTATGTCCAACATTCGACTGCCTGGGAAAATTGAGATATCGGCTTCAAATTCCCCAAAAACATTGGAAAATTTTTTTTTGCACATTGGTATTGAAAATGGACCAAATCGGTTAAAAGTTCCATCTATGGTGTAACATAAACTGAGAATGTCTGCGCTTTGAAAAGCAAAACAAGTAAGAAAATTATATTCGCCGATAACAGAGTCTTTTATTCCCATCACCGCTTAATACTGATGAAAAGTATGTGGCCTTTGTGTGTTCTCTTCAGCAGCTTCTTTTTGGGCGCTACATGTGTTTTGGTCAAAGAATGAAATTCTACAATTCTATAACAATCAGTAGGCGTGGCCGAGTTTTTCCATTTTTCTACAAGTGTTACAAAGCCGCCCATAGAATATAGCTACCAATTGTTATTGTTGCATCTTATGTGGTTTATAAGAAGGGAGCAAAAAAACACCTTTTTTTACTTTTGAAAATGGAAACGGTCTCAGGGTATGCCGTACTATGGTCGTGAACTGCAAGCGATTTGGCTCAA